GGGGGAAGGGCTTGAGTGGGGGTGTGCATGAAGGAGAGACCTTATAAGATTGCATGCTCTGGAGGTGTAGGAACTTTTCTGCTGTCTGGGGTTGACCTGTGGGAGAGCAGGAGGAGGAGGTGGGATGTGTTTGTGGGTCCTAGCCCCCTTTATTAACATGTGGGGAAGGCAGGGTGGAGTTGAGTGCTGAATGATGGGCACTGCCTGGCCCTAGGGTCTCACATGGGCAAAGCCTTGGGGGTGCCAGCTCTGGGCTTTAGAGGAAGTCATGAGGGAGCCCTGACAGGTGTCTGATTTGGCCCAGGTACGCACCTGTGGGCATCCTGTTCCTGATTGCTGGGAAGATCCTAGAGATGGAAGACATGGCCGTTCTGGGGGGTCAGCTGGGCATGTACACCCTGACTGTAATTGTGGGCTTGTTTCTCCATGCTGGTGGCGTCCTGCCTCTCATCTACTTCCTCATCACCCACCGGAATCCCTTCCCCTTCATCGGGGGCATGCTGCAGGCCCTTATCACTGCCATGGGCACGTCTTCCAGGTATGACCGTGTCTCCCACCAGTGGCACCCTTCCTAGGTTGTCTTTCACGGGCTCTTGTAGGATACTGCCCTCCCCCTGCTACAGAACCTCTTCTGGGTTGTTCAGTAATGTCAGGGGTTACTGAAGGTGGCCTACCTGGGCACTGACCTTTGCCCTGGGCTGACTCTCCTGACCCCCGTTTCTCCTTTCCTGTGTCTGTTTCATGTGGGGGAGAGCCAGCTGCCATTTTTGAGGTTAGGATGAGGGTTCCTACATGCCCCATGTTCTCAGTCATTTTCTGGCTCAGAGGGTCTCATTGTCTTTGAGATGGTGTCCGGAAGCTCTCTTGGACTTCTCCTTTGAGGGGTTTTCAGGCAGTTAATAAAGAGCTCCCCTTCCCCCCATCCTAATTTAAAACAATTTGAGAATATCACAAACACCAGCCAGATGGAAGAAAAATACCGTGGTTTTTTATTGCCCATAACACTGATTGAATACTGTGCCTTCTGATCTGTGGCCAAGTAGGATTGATGCCATTGTATCCCAGAATTAAACTCACCTGGTCACCACAGGGTTGGACACCTAAAGGCCCTCTCTGTGTTCAGGTTTCTGACCACATAACATAAAGCTGACCAGACAGAGCACATGTTTTGTGGGCAGGCTGACCCCAAATGAGATGCTCACTTTTAAAAATATATATATATCTTTATTGATTTCAGAGAGAGGAAGGGAGAAAGAGAGAGTTGAAACATCAATGATGAGAGAGTCATTGATCGGCTGCTTCCCGCACGCCCCCTACTGGGGATCGAGCTCACAGCCTGGGCATGTGCCCTGACGGGGAATCAAACCCTGATCTCCTGGATCCTAGGTTGATGCTCAACTGCTGAGCCACGCCCCGCCGGGCAAGATGCCCACTTTTTTGACAAAACTCACCCTACAGTTAAGTCACTATTCTTCTCTAGGGAGTGGAAGGAAGAGAGGCTGAGAGGATTAGTGTAGCCAAGGTCACTCCCTGACCAAACATGGGGAGTGGGCATAGTGCTCCTCTGAAATACCCCTCTCAGCCCGAGAGGAAGGAAGTCAGAAGATCTTTAGTCTTCCCTTTCTGGGGGTGGATAGACTGAACTAGCGGCATGAACTAGTATAGTAATTAGCCTTAAGCTATTGGCTTTAAGTGGGACAAGGGACTTTCAGCCTGGAGGACACCATTGCTGTGTGCTCCCTGTGTCTTGAGGAGTCCCTCTTCCCCATGCAGCTATCAGCCTCTGAAATGTTAGACACCTGCCACCCGCCCCTGTCTCTGGCTTCCACCTGGCCTTCCAATGTTCTCAAGGGGAACCTTCCTTTGGCCTATTGCTGCTCCAGCCCCGCACCACCGTCCCCTGCTCTCAGCCCCTGGGGCTCTCTCCCCCAGCTCTGCGACACTGCCCATTACCTTCCGCTGCCTGGAGGAGGGCCTGGGTGTGGACCGCCGCATCACCAGGTTCGTGCTGCCTGTGGGGGCCACTGTCAACATGGATGGCACTGCCCTCTACGAGGCCCTGGCAGCCATCTTCATTGCCCAAGTCAACAACTACGAGCTCAACCTGGGCCAGATCACAACTATCAGGTGAGATGGTCTTGGTGGGACCTGCCAGCAGGTGAGACCTAAGAAGTCATTAGCTTGGCTTAATGGAGGAGGCAGCCTCAGCTCAAGGTCAAGGGAGGCCTTGGATGTTAGAGGGCAGATGTGGGCAGAGGCCAGTCACCCATTCCAGATGAGGTTCAAGGTAAGACTTTGCAACCTGAGGTTGTCAGGAGCTGGCAGGGTGTTCCAGTCAGATCTCCTCTCAGATGCTATTGTGAGAGATTCCTTTGTCTAGTATTTTCCAAAGTATGGCTGGTGCATTCTAATAACCTGAGGTTCTTGTTATAAATGCGGATTCCTGGGCCCCATCACCTAGGGGTTCTAACTTAGTCATTATGAAAATAACGTGGGCAGTGGTTTAAGAGTCTCTTGCCCAAGGGAAGGGTCTGAGTGAACAGACCCTGACTTCTTCTGTCCCACACTCAGCAGCCCTGTGCTGCCTTTATGTGCGCAGGAAGTACCTGAAGCCCAGGGGGCAGGGGTTGTCTATTTCCTGTGGCCCCTGGAACAGGTCTCATAAGCATTCAATATTAGGGAATAGCCTCTTGTTCAATCAGCCAGCAAATATTTATTGTAGTAGTACTGCCTGGGTTCCAGGAGCTGGGAATATGGCTGTGAGTGACACATTCATGATTCTGCACTGGGTCTTCTGAAACCAGATGGCATAGATGACTCAGGGTCCTGGGCAGGATTTTCATCATAGTTTGGGCTCTGGGAGTAAGGACTCTGCATGGACTTCCAGCAAAAGCTGGCTGGAATGTACTGGACACAACCCTGCAAGGCTCTCCTCTTATTCAGGGATTTTTTTTTGGAAGATGAAGACACTCAGTGTGACTCCTGTGCTAACAGAGCCCAAGGGCCAGTTTCTTGGCTGGTTGGGAATTCCTTCTTTGGACCTGATCTGAGTTTAACCCAGAGAAGTTTGAGTTGGCTTCTTGGATACAGCTGGAATTAGCTCATCCCCTTGAAGTGTGTTATGTGCCTCCTAAGGGTACCCACATGCCAGAGCTGGTGTTTAGGGGAGATAGTCTCTCTTACTTAGAATAATGGTAATAATGGCCCTTCTTGAAGCCCCATCATAAAGCACTGTGCTCTTTTACTACTCACAATAACCCATAAGGTAGGTATATGTCTCCCATTCTACAGATGAGGAAACAGAGGCTCTGAGTTTATGTAAAATGTCGTATGGCTAATGAATGGTTCATAGTCCATTCTCTGTCCACCAACCCAAGTGCTCAGTCACTGTTCTGATAGAGGCATCATCTTGGCTAAGTGTCCTAAGTGGCTCCATGTTCACCAGGAAGAGGGGTGTTAACCTCAGGGCACTAATGCCTCCTGGCAAGCTCAGTGGCTTTAGAATTCTTAGCGCACCGTAGCAGGCAATCAGAGTTGATGCAGGAGCTAAAAATCCAGCTTTCTCTTGGTCCAGTCGGACCTGCTCCTGAGGCTGGACCACTATCTCTTTTATTTTCCATGGGTTTTGCCTTTTAGTTTTTCAAAACCATACATCATTTTTTTATTTGCTCAGCATTGTAGACAATTTATTCTTTTGGTTCTAAACTTGGTCTTCTGGAGTTCCATTCCTGGCAGCTGGACCTGGCTATGCCAACCTTCCTATTTCCAGTATATGTGCCTACAAGGAACTCAGTCTCCTGGGTCACAGCTGCTGCCTGGGGTGATTCTTCTGACCTCTTCCAGCCCACAGGCCAGTTTAGTTAAATACCTACTCTTGCATCTACAATGTGAGTTGTCTAAATGTTCAAAAGTCCACCATAGATGGACTTCCAACCGGATCCTGGCAAAGGATGAGAAGACATCTCTGTACTGGCTCTCAATGAAAGTCACATTGGATTTGCCTTTTATTTGGGGGATTTTAATTTAAGATGCCCTGGGGAACTTGCTCCTTCCCTTCTGTGTACCCTTTCTCACTCTCTTTCTCATCTCTCCCTTTCCTTCTCCTGCCTCCCTGTGTTCTTTCTCCCCTTGCAGTATCACAGCGACAGCAGCCAGCGTTGGGGCTGCTGGCATTCCCCAGGCAGGTCTGGTCACCATGGTCATTGTGCTCACATCGGTCGGCCTGCCCACTGAAGACATCACGCTAATCATAGCTGTGGACTGGTTCCTGTGAGTGTCCTTCAGACCCTGCTGCTATCTCTCCTCAAGCCCCTGCTTTCCCTCAAGACCCCCCAACCTATGGGCCCTCATTCCAGCAAGGACACAGAGTTTTAGAATTTTAGAGTGAAAGGGGGCCTTGGAGAATACACCAAACCATGGCCTTTGGATCCCAAATTCCATAGAATTAACCTCGGGAAGTAGGGCAGAAAAGAGACAAGTGGTAGAAGATTTACCCATCAACCAGAAAGGCCCCTTTTTACCTCTTTTATGTAGAAGTCACAAAAGGTGATCCATGGGACAGAGCCAGATTGCAAATATATTTTTTAAAAATATCAATTTTAAAAACAGAAGATTTACATAAAATAAGCCTAGACTTCCTCATTCTGTATGTTGTTCATCTCACAATCCTAATTTTCTATAATGGATGTGTACATCCTTAAAAAATTTGTGTTGCTAAGATCAAATGTGAGCATATCAGAGCTGGTCTGTTCTATATCTGTTAGGAGGGGAAACTGAGGACAGCGAGGGGAGGGGACCTGCTTGGTCAGGGATTGGACTGGAATGTGAACCCCCAGTTCTCAGGCACAGGGAACCCCCATCTGCTGCATCTTCTCCCCTGTGGTGCTCTTCAAGTCTTGCTTAGTAGAGGTTAACGGTTAGTTTTCTGTCCTCTCCCTTCTGCAGTGATCGACTTCGCACAATGACCAACGTGCTGGGGGACTCCATTGGAGCAGCTGTCATTGAGCATTTGTCTCAGCGGGAGCTGGAGCTGCAGGAAGCCGAGCTCACCCTCCCCAGCCTGGGGAAGCCCTACAAGTCACTCATGCCACAAGAGAAGGGGGCATCTAGGGGGCGGGGTGGCAATGAGAGTGCCATGTGAGGGGTGTCTTGGGAAAGACCCACTGCCTGAATGACTGTGTACTGAACTCATATTCTGTCCGATGTGTTTGGGGGAAACTGAGATAAAGGAGCAGGGATGAAAGGATGTCCACTGTCTTCATTTCTCTCTGAGCCTATACTGAGAACTTGAGGGAGGGTGGTGGGTAAGGCGGGGTGGAAATGTTTTCCCTGGGGTTGTGGGTATGGGAAGCATCAAGTTCAACAAAGTGAGGGTCACCTCATGTTCCTTATTTTCTTAAGGAGCAGCATAATTGAAGGAGGTAAAGGAAAACCACTATTTCTCATACTAAAACAACACCTATGGCCTCTGTGTTGGGAGGTCCTGAAGCCCACCTTCAGGTTCCATGATTGGTTAAAAGGACTTACAAAACTCAGAAAAGCTGTGATGCTCACATTTATGGTTTATTCCAGGGAAAGGACACCGATTAAAATCAGCAAAGGCAAGAAGCACATAGGGCAGGCTCCAGGGGACATCAGGTGTGAGCTTCCAGTTGTCCCTTCTTAGTGGAATTGCATGGCTGGTACTTTCTCTCCCACTAATGACATGTGACAACACATAAAATCCTGCCAGCTAGGGATCTCACCTGACCCCTGGTGTCCGGGTTTTCTTGGGAGTTTGTTGTGTAGGCGTGGGGTGCCTGTTCACCCTAATTACTCATTCCCAGCGGCCAAACCAACACAGCATTCCCCGGGGCCCGGTGAACAAAAACAGGAATTCACAGTAAATTACTGTCGGCATAGATGACCCCGCATGGCTCAAGACCCCAAGTACACAAAGATGCTTTTATCAAGCAAGATATCCCAAGGGCCCAAAGGTCAGGAACAAATGAAGAAGGTCGAGTCCTTTCTTTGGGATGTGCAGGCTTTGAGCACCCCTAGCCCTCTGACTTAACCTTTTACTTCGTACGCTCCACAGTTGGGAATAGAGGAATCAGCTGCTAATGGGGATGAGCAGCTGGAACTTGTAGCCCAGACTCTTGATTCCTGAGGCCAGTTGGCCCAGACACCCCACCAGCATGCCAGCCTCGGGTTCTGTGTCTCCTTACTACATGAGGGTAGACATTGGCTTCTTAGCATTATTTTCCTGCAGCCTAGTGAGCCAGGTGGAACATTAAATGGGACCTTAATAAAGGACTGGGGAAAACGTAAATGAAGTAAACAGAGAATGACGTTTCTAGCTAGCAGGTAACTCAACTCCATGACCCCTTTGTCTGGGAAACATGATTTTTTTTTTCTAAGTTAAATTAACCTTCACTTGAGCACCTACCCCTCCCAAAGACTAGGGAAATTCAAGCACAGGTATGTTGGGATGCTCCCCACTCAAATCTTTAGGATCCTAAGAGAACCATTGGGCATAAACAATTGAGAGACTTGGAAGAGAGCTCCAGAATTCTTTAATCTATTTGTGGTTACCATGGAGACATTTATGGTCAGAGACTAGAAATAATTCATGCAAAGGCAAGAGCCTCCTCTGCTTATTGTTAACAAAAGTCCCCAATGGGAGGTGTGGGAAAAGGAGACACTTTAGTCAGATGAACAGTTTGCAAACTGGGGAAATGCAGCCTCTGCTAGAAATCGAAAGTGTGTCTCCTGAGATAAAGGGAGTCTCTGCCTTTTACATAGAAAGTCCCTGCCCTGGTTTCTGATTGGTCGATTTTTATGTGAATGAGGGATCCAAATGTGCACAGTCTGATTGGTCCAAATAGCACTATCCTGATTGGTCAGCATCACGTTCTGATTGATCATCATGGAGCTGCTCTGATTGGTCAGTATAAATGCAAATGAGGATATAACTGTGCAGGTGCAAGATGGGGCAGGTCTCCGCCCACTGGTGAGAAGATGATACCAGAAACTCCCTTATAAGTGTTGACCAAGATGGCAGGAACACAGTGCAGAAGGCTGGCAGCTCAGTCTGTGGCTTCTCCCTGAAATGCAGAGGGCACAAAAGCCTCTGTCAGTAATGGCTGCTAGATTCTGGTTATGAATTTGTGCCCAGTTAACCACAAGGAGTCCTTCTTGGCAGATATATTCCTTCTTGAGGTTTACATTATAAAACATCCTACTCCACATTTGACCATGGGGAACTTTGCCTGGGATCCCAGGCTCAAACCAGAAATTCAGCCTCTGGCCTAACCCCACCCCATGGTTAGTGGTCTGTGTCCCCAGTGTGCTCCTTGTAGGAGCAGAGTCTATTACTCTGCTAGGGCTGTATGACAAAGTACCACAGACTGGGTGGCTTAAACAACAGAAATTAATTTTCTTATAGTTTTAGAGGCCAGAAGTCTGAGATCAAGTTGTCAGCAGGGCTGGTTTCTTCTGAGGCTTCTCTCCTTAGCTGGTAGATAGTTCTCTTCTCTCTGTGTCTTTATATGGTCAAAGGACTTTTATATATTGATTTCGTATTCTGCAACTTTACTGAATTTCACATAATCTCAGAAATCACCTCTGTAAAGGAGTTTGCGGGGCAACACTTCCAAAATAGGTACACATCCCATCACTTCTGAGGATATATTTTTAAAGCATGAGACATTTTTTTGAGAGCTCTATTTTGCCTTATTGGTTAGTTGACATTAATTCCAATTCAACCCTAATAACACTGACAAACTCTTATCAAAAGCAATGTCAGAGGAAAAAGGTTTATCATTGCTTCCTTTAAACTTTCAAGGAAAATCATCTTAAGAGTTGACAAAATTTACAAAACGTAATTTTACATTTTACTTTGGAAAATCTAGATGTTAGGCAACAAAGAGACATTTGGGCACGTGATACATGTAACGAAATGAGGCTTTCTTAATGAGCTACCTGGGAACCAAGGGAACCTAGACATCATATCTGGAGGTTAATGAAACTGCCCTAGGAGTGAGCCTGGCTCGGCAGGCAGGCCCCTGGGAACAAGCCAAGCTCTGTCTCCACTTCCATAATTCTGAACCCCTTGACCAAGGCAGGCCACAGAGTCTCCATGTAGGAGATACACTATGAGACTTAGTTTTTGTTTTTTTTTAAATCCAAACCATTACTGAAGATAACTAAGAAAACACTAGGCTTTATTCATATGAAGTTAAAATGACCGGTTGTAAAGCGAAAAAGAGAGCCCAAGATATAACCTGAAGAAAAATGGTGAGAGAACAGGGAAGACCCAAGGAAAGTTTTGCTTCAAAACATATAAAATTAAGAAAATGAAACATATTGGACAAAGGAAGCAGGATTTCTGGTCCTCAGTACTGTGTGCCCGGCTACTCAGGAGAGTCCTGTAACAGCTCTTCTCCTGAGAGTCTCCACCCTCATGAGGAGTCCTCCCAGGGCCCTCTTCATGTCCCTGTTCCGCAGACTATAGATGAAGGGATTCAGCATGGGGGTGACCATGGTGTACATCACTGAGGCCACCAGACTTGTCCTAGAGGATGAAGTGACTGCAGAACTGAAGTAGACCCCCAGGCCTGTGCCATAGAACAAGGAGACCACCGACAGGTGAGACCCACAGGTGGAGAAGGCTTTGAACTTTCCCCTAGCTGAGGAAACCCTCAGGACAGAGGAGAAAATCTGAGCATAGGAAAAGAGGATCCCAGAGAGAGGGACAACAGCTAGGATGATAGTCACAAAATACACCACCATGTTATTGACGAGGGCGTCAGAACAGGTGAGTTTCAGGACTTCAGGAAGATCACAAAAAAAGTGTGGGATTTCAATGTCTGTGAAGGACAGCCTCAAGACAGTCAAGGTTTCAAGCAGGGAGCCAATGACACTGATGCACCAAGAGCCCAGGGCCAGCAGTGCACAGAACCGAGGGTTCATGATGACTGTGTAGTGCAGGGGGTGACAGATGGCCACAAAGCGGTCGTAGGCCATCATGGTCAAGAGTAAATTGTCCAAGCATCCAAACATAATGAAAAAAAAAATCTGGCTGATGCAGCCTTCATAGGTGATGGCTTTGCTCTGTGCCTGGATGTTCACCAGCATCTTCGGGACGGTGGTGGAGGTGAAGCAGATGTCCACCAAGGACAGGTTGGACAGGAAGAAGTACATGGGCATGTGGAGGCGGGAGTCTGAGCTGATGGCCAAGATGATGAGTAGGTTCCCGGTAAATGTGACCAGGTACATGGAGAGGAACAGCCCAAAGAGGAGGGGCTGCAGGTCCGGCTTCCCTGGGAATCCCAGGAGGAGAAAGTTTCTGACTCTTGTTTGGTTTCTTCTTTCCATGGAGCTGCTGGGTTTGCCCAGAAGGAGGGAAAAAAGCAACACAAATGTCACTTCAAATAAGAAACCCTTTGAATGATAGAAATATCCTTAATCCAAACCCAAGGAAATTAGTCATTCATTTTAGGTAATGGTTGGCTGTCTTTGCTGACACACTGTGGTTACAGTTGTTACCTGGGAAAATGGCCTGTCTCTAGGTTCAGTGGTTCTTAAATTGTGGTCCCTGACCAGTATCACTTGGTAACCTGTTGGGGTGCACAGTTTTGGGCCTGCTTGACCTATTGAATCAGGTACTCTGGGCATGGAGCCAGTGTCTGTGCTTTCACATGCCCTCTCAGGAACTTTGATGCTCAAAGTTGAGAACTATTTCTTGAGCAGTGGTTGCCCGCATCCCTAAGCAGCCATCCCTTTCCCAGCATCCTTGATGGTTGCTCTTGCATTTTTTTCTCAGTACCTGTGGGAAAGGGGATTTTCTTAACCCTAGGGAGACTTTCCAATAAATGAAAGCTTCCTTTATTTTGCAGCAGTTTCTGTATATAGATCTTCTGGACCTTGGGCTCTCCTTCTGCTAACAAAAATAATAACCAATGTTATTATTAATAATTGTCTATATTTCTTTTATATTACTGATGTTCCTAAATAAAATTCTAAAAAACTGAATTTCTAAATATAATGTCTTAATGTTTCCAAATATTGAGTTTGTCTTTTCACATGAAAAGTTTGCACTTTTCATCTTTTCTGTTTAGCTTTATTGACGTATAATAGATCTACAAAAAATTACACCTATTTAATGTATATATCTTGATTAGTTTTTAAAAAATATATCTTTATTGATTTCAGAGAGAGGAAAGGAGAGGGAGAGAGAGATAGAAACGTCAATGATGAGAGTGTCATTGATCAAGCCCACAATCGGGCATGTGCCCTGACCGGGAATCAAACCCAGATCGCCTGGATCCTAGGTCGATGCTCAACAGCTGAGCCACGCCCGGCCGGGCTATCTTGATTAGTTTAAACATATGCATACACCCATGATACCATCACCACAATCAAGGTAATAAACATAACCATCACCTTAAAAATTTTCATGTATTCTTGTGTGTGTGTGTGTGTGTGTGTGTTAAGAACACTTATGATCTATCCTCTTGACATTTTAAAGTGCACAATACCACACTATGTTGCACAGCAGATCTCTAGAACTTTTTCATCTTGCATAACGGAAGTTTTATGCCCATTGAACAACAATCCACCCCCACCCTTTGCCGCTGCTTCTATGAGTTTAACTATTTTAAAGTCCTCACATTTGTGGAATAATGCAGTATGGATCCTTTGAGGTCTGGCTTATTTCACTTAGCGTGGTGTCCCCCAGGTTCATCCAGGGTTAGCAAATGGCAAAATTTCTACATAGTACTTTCATGCATTTTAGGTTTAATGTAATTAAGAATAATGTTCCTCTACATTATATCTCTGATATTATTATGTCAGGAAAGCTTTTGATTTTCTGCGTTCATAAGGTGTCAAGTTCATTTTCTGGATTTTCTTATTCAAGATTAAAAAAAATTTTTTAATTTTCAGTTAAGTTTATATTCAATATTATTTTGTATTAGTTTCAGGTGTACAGCATAGTGGTTAGACAACCATATACTTTACAAAGCATTCTCCCCAGATACTTTCAATTCCCACCTGGCACCATATATAGTTATTACAATATCATTGACTATAATTTCCATGCTGCACTTTAAAGATTTTCTCTAATATTTACCTACTTTCTCCAAATAATATTAATTTGCAACACTGATTTATCTTTAGATCTTATTGCATTGGTATGAAATCTGAGAACACTTCGAATATATGGTAAGAGTTGGAATTCTTATTCTTTCTTTCATGGGGATAATTCTAGAGTTTTGTGATTTAATATCATGTTCACCATAATTTAGGATATATAATTTTTAAAAATCAACTCAACTTGCAATTTCTTTGGCTTTATGAATTGGTACTTTTATTTCTATGGGGTAAATTCCCAAAGGTGAATTTGATCAAAGGGTTTATCTATCTTTTATTTTAGTAGATGCTGTTAGATTGCCTTCCAAAGGAGCTTAGCATTTCACATTTCTTTCATCAATGATGGAAAATAGCTGTATGATTCTGAACAGACTCAGTTATGCTGCAGCGACTAACAGTCCGAAATTTCAGGGGCTAACACAATAAACGTTTGTTTTTCATTCATGCAAAATCCGATGTAAGCACAAGCAATTCTCCAAGCCAATTGTCCTTTCTGAAGTAACTCAGGCTTCTTTGAATTCTAGGGTGTCATCTCAACAATCATCTGGAAGCCTCAATCGTGTGAAGTCTCATCCACAAGCATAAGGGCAGGTGAAAAAGGGAGACAGGCTAACTGCAATGACAATTAAGAGCTTTGACACAGAAGTCACACATATTCTTATTGTCCACTAATTAGCCAGAACTAGTGACACTGTCACATCTAACTGCAAAGGGGGGAAGGAGAGCAATCCTGTGTGTCCAGCATTAACTTGCAATTTTTATCCCTAGATACCTTAAAGGGGCTTTTAAGGGTATAAATAAATGTTTAGAGATTAACTACTTAGAAAAAATAATTTTAAATCCTATCTTTGTATTCTAAAACAAATTTCAAATGTTAAGTGTGGAGCAAGAGACTATATAAACTATTAGAAGAACATATAGATAAATATATAGGTAATATAAATTTACACATGAATATATATAATCTTTGAAAGTAGAAATTCTCTGAATAAAAACACTTTGGTAGAAATAAAAGGCAAAAAGATCAATAATTGGACCATAAGTTGAAAAATTCTGAATGAGAAAATGTATCTTGCAGAAAATTAGAATGCAAACAAACAAACAAACAAATTAAGAAAAACAAAAACACAACTATTTGGTTGATAAACTTAATATCTTTATAAAGTCTTAATCATAAGTTATAAAAAGATTAATGCATTAACTAGGAAAGAGGCATAAGATATTAATGATTCATAACATGAAACATAAGAAGACTAATTAAATATTTGAGACAATTTTTACTCCTACTCTAAATTTATGAAGGTGAAATTAAAGTAGATACCTTTTTCACTGAGGGAATTAAAAAGCCCTTTAACAAAAAGAAAAATGCAAAATCCATCATGTGGAAAGGGAAATAACACTTAGGACACTGCTATAAAAGGGTACTTGGTCTGCTATCCTGCACTGGAGAAATTAAAACAGCATACAGATCTTTTATATTTAAACACATGTTTGTATAACATCAAGAAAAAAATATCTACAACAGGATATACCAAAATGTGGACAGGGATAATCTTTGAGTGGTAACATGAATCTTGATTTTTAGATTTATTTTTTTCTATTATTTCATTCAAAAGTACAAATGAACATGCAGTCCAGCCTCAAGAAAAAAAAACAGCACTTAAAAATGTGAAGATGTTAATAAAACTTCCATAAAACAAACCTAGGTAAAGCAAAAAATTAAGTTAAAGACAGAGTTAATGAATTAAAAAGAAGGGAAAATTTTAGAACTGAAAAATAAATTTTACAGTGAATTCTTTGGCAAAAGCAAACGAATTGACAAAATTAGACAGAAGTCTAATAAAAAAGACAAACAGAGAGAAAGAACAGAAATGCATAAAACTAGGAATGAAAAAAATTAACAGAGAGGTAAGGAAGTGCTTAAATGTGTTGGATAATATTACTTATAACTCCATGTTAAAAATTTGAAAATCTCTAAGAAATGAGTTTATTTTTTGGAAAATACGAGTATCCAAAGTTGATTCAGGATAAAGGATAACAGATCAATAATTAAGGAAGGAATTAAATAAACATTAAAACTCACCACCTTACCACCAAAAATGCCCTGGTGGGAGCTCCTGGCAGGAACAATGGAAGAGTTCACCTTTAAGTTTTAAAGAAGAAAGCCTACCATCCTTAATGTCATTTATTAACTCTTGGGAAGTTCCAACCAATGCAATGCAAGGAGCAAAAGATATAAGAGATCTAAGTATTGAAAAGGCAACTCTTCATTTGAAGATGAGTTGGCTGTAGATAATGAATTGGCAGCTGAAAACCCCTTTTAATTGTGTATAATTTTAGTAAGGCAGGTAACACAAAACAAATATGTAAACCTGTAGCCATTTTATTTTTATTTTTATTTTTATATTTTTTAAAATCCTCACTCGAGAATAAGTTTTTTATTTTGGTGGAGGGGGGAGTGAGAGAGAGAGAGATTAAGAGAGAAACATTGATGTCAGAGCAATCTAGGTATGTGCCTTGACAGGGAATTGAACCCTCAACCTTTTGCTGTATGGGACAATGCTCCAACCGAGTCACCCGGCCAGGACAGCAGTAGCCATTTAAAAGTGGCATTCAGTGGTATATAGTATTTTGCAACCATTGTTTCCATCTAATGCCAAAACATTTCATCATTATGGGAACTCTCTGTACTATCTTTGTAATTTTTCTATAAATCTAAAATTATTCAAAAATAAAAATTAACAAAAAGTGAGTACAAGAGAAAAATCCAGCAGTGTTTGTGTATCTAGGCAAATCTCTTAGAAAATAGATTACAATTATTTCACATATTAACAAAAATTTAAATGTCTTGGAACAGGAACTGGAAACTTGCAAATACACAAAAATGAGAGCAATCAATTTACTAAATTAGCTAAAGTTTCTTGAGGACCTCCATATGTTGAGTACTTGTGTTATATTTTATATGTTTTGGCTTATTTTATCGTTATTACTATTTTAAAATATATCTTTATTGTTGAAAATATTACAGATGACCCCTATTTTTCCCCATTGACCCCTTCTACCCTGCACCCACCCCCTGCCTCAGGCCTTCACCACACTATTGTCTGTGTCCATGGGTTATGAATATATACATATAAATTCTTTGGTTAATCTCTCTCCCTTGATTTAACAATGAATATGTGCTTACAGTAATACAACGATGATAATTAACGTATATAGGTGTT